CTATACTGAGTTGGTTCAAAATACTTTCAAACCAAATTTCTACTTTTTCTATCTTACACACATGGCCCAATCTTTAACTTCAACCTATTAACACCTTTCTAAATACATTCAATCTCATTACACCTCAATTTAATGGCTCTAAAAACACATGAACACTTTATATCTTATCTTCAAATTGGCTTATCAGAAAAATTACAAATACATCTAACCCTCAAATACTTTTTCAGAAATATCAAATTATCAATTCAAAAACTAACACAATCCACATCTCCCCTATACCTACAATATTTCAAATTAATTACAAACAAACTATTAATCTAAAATGCAAAACTCAAAAAAGACCACAACATTTTGAACTTAATATAAATATCCTCGAAATTGAAGCACTCCAAAATATCTATATGAAGTTGTTTAAACCTGCTCCACAGTCCTTACTATTTCTTTCATTACCCACTTCAGAAATCATACTAATACAAAACACAATATCCAATCCTATATACCAAAATCAACTCATAAACCTTTACCAAAAAATATTACTTCTCAATTCAACTAATTTATATTTCTATACCAATGCCTCTATACTCAATTCACAAACACATAACATATCTACAAGCATTATCTAGATTCTCAAAAATGATATACAAATTAAATTTAATGCCTCTATACTCTATGCACCAAACTCTATACAAGCAGAACTTGTAACACTTATTCTTTTATTTCTTATCTTATCTACTAATTACCAAATCTATATTTATCTTGATAGTTTAACTATCATTCAAACTCTCACAAACTTAATATCTTACAACTACAACTCTCAAACCAAATAAAATAATTGGAATATCATTCATATTCTAAATTATCTAACCAAACTTAAAAATATTAACTATACTACTCATAAAGTTAAATCATACTCTAACAACACTCTACATAACATAGTTAATGCTTTAGCTAAACAAGGTGCTGATAAAATTAAACTAAAATTTAATTTTGACTTTTTCTATCTACCTACCTTCTTTACTTGGAAAGAAATACCAATCACATACAAACTATATAAATTTTGCAAGAACCTACTCTCTATTCAAACTTTTAACAAACTTCTTCAACTTAAACCACTATGGAATCTTCCTACTTTAAATATTCAACTACTTACTAAAATTATTAATTCTCAAAACTCAAACCCTAAATTATACTCTATTAGGAACAAAATACTTCTTAATAACTTACCTACAATAGAAAATTTAAATATTCATTACTCCCTCATTTTTTAATCCCGAACTGCTTATTTTGCAATCAATATAAAAATATTATACATCAATTACAATATTCACTTCACACTTACAATCTATATAACATCCTCATCAATGAAATTTCAAATACATTAAGTTCATTAAATCTCTTAGAAACCTCACCACACACAATAGTACAAGTTCTAAATTCACAAAACACTTTTTCAAACTCTACTATATATAATACAATACTTCTACTCATTCAAGGAACAATAACTTTTAATTAATATAAACAACTTCAATCTATTCTAAAAAAACTAACAAACAATTTTCTTATTCTTCTATCTAACTCTCTACTCAATTAATTCAACTCTACTATTTGGCAAACCCAGAATACTAAACAACATAAATAGGAATTAGCACAAGGAATTATTGCCTTAACTAAAAAAAAAAAAACATCTGATTACCTTTTCTACAACTTTCCAACCCTACTAACAATAGTTTCATATTTAATACTGATATAGATATTCTTATTTCTAAAACTCTTTCTCAAAACTTTTCTATATATAATTGCTTTTAATAACTCTAACTACTCTAAGAGTTCCTTTTTCTCTTTCTGTAGTTAATAATTATAATAGTTAATTTAACTAATAACAGATAACTAAAAGATAATATCACACTAGATGTTGTTAATATATAGCAACAATAGTATAGCTTAGGAATAATTCTTACTTATATATTTATATCCAATTGATATATTCATGTATTAATATTTTCTTACATGATATTATATAATAAAATAAAAAAAAAACATCTAACAAGTGTTTAAGTATTATATACTCTACATTTTTACATACAAATCTAAATTTTATTTTAACCATTTTCATAATTTCTTGACATATACTATATGAAAGTTTTAATAATAAATTTATGTGTTATAATTTTGGCTTTTGGGCAAGCTTTTTTTTTTAAAAAACATAAATATATATTTTAGCAAAAAATAGTTAATATTATAAAAAAACTAATTTATAACTGTTTAGTAAAATGGACAAAAGACTTAATATTGAAAAAATTGATAAAATTTTATCAGTAATTTCAGAAAAACTACTATAAACAAGATATTAGAAAATAGCTGTTCTTAAAAATATTTGACCTAATCAGTTAGTAATAACTAGAATAATATTTTTTCTTTAATATACTTGTTGATCACTAGAGTAGATATGGCAGCATTAACAGTATTAATATAATCTTTTATAAAATAAAGATGATTTTTCAAAAAGTCTACAAGTATAATATTTTTTATCAACCTTATGTCTTTTTTTCTTTCAAATGAATATTCTAACTATAAACTATTAACTTTTTAAACTTTTTTTATTAGTTATAAAATGAAATTTCCAATATAGATTATAAGAAAATGAATATATTGATATAAAGTGATTTTCAATTTCAGTTTTAATTAATAAAACATTAATTAAAACAAAATTATGAATATCTTGTCTTGGTATTGACAGTTAGTTCTTAATAAGGTTAAGAAGGATAATAATGAAACTTTCTCTTATTGATAATGTAAATATAGTAAACATTATTTTAATATAAATACTGTGATAATCATCAATATTTAAAATTAAAGTATTATTAATATTATTCACAATATTTATTTCTATAATTTTCAGATAGTTTTTAGATATAACATCTTTGTAATAGGCAATTGAATAAGATGTTATTATTAAACCTAATGCTGTCATAGTATTAATTATTGAATTAAATGTTTTTATAGAATCTAAATATATTTTTAAATTTTTTTTTGTATTGTTAACAAATTTGTTTCTAATACTACACATAAAATAACATAAGAATACTAATTGTTTTGATATTTTTTTCATCATATTTTTATTTTTTGATAATGGATTAGTTGATAAATATAGTTTGTCAAAAAAAGATTCTAATTATTGATCCTTTGATTTTATAATTATACAAAATTTTTCAAATATTCAAATTGGAGATAATTTACTATATTCTCTTTTATAAAAAACATCCATAATTATTCTTATTACTTATAAAAAAGATAAAACAGTATTAGCATTAGGTAGTTTTGATTTTGACTCATTTTGAGAACACCAGTTTGACATATGTTGTTGAAATTCCGAAGATATATTTGTAACAATTACATTATAGCAATCTAAATATAATATATTAGTTTCTGTAATATAAGAAGAAAATGTTCTATTATTTGCTTCTTTAGAAAGGACTAGACCAGTTACAGACTTCCAAGTTGAAGATTTTCTCTTGCAAATTTTTATAGAGCATGATCCGTTGACTTTCTTTTTTTTACCCATTATGAAAAATCACTACTAAGGTAACACCTCTTAAATATAAGATTATATAAGATTATTTTTGAAGATGGTTTTCTAACACTCTAACGAAGCGAAATATGTAAAAAAAAAATTTTCTTGTTAGTGAAACGTTACGTTCTTAAAAAGTACTTTAAAGTGCATAAATAAGTTACCCGGGTAATTGATTTGCATTAGCCAATCAGACGAATTTCAGCCCATGAAGCCGAGAGAGCGTGATTTAGGGTCATACGGCGAAGATCCCACGACAAAATCGTCACTCGTGGATCACGTGTTTCGGGTCTAACAATATATTACCCTGAAATTTTGTATTTATATGTAAATTTCTTGATTCAGAATTAAGTTTGTTCGGATTAGCCCGATTGGAAAATGTCGAAGAGTGATTTTCCTAGCAAAGAACCCATATACAAGTATTTAAAATACCAAATTTTATATTACTCATTATACATGAGTAATGTCAAAACATATACTGAATATACAAGATTAAATTTATTTACGCCTATCAGGGCTGAGTCTAGTAAATAATAAATAATAAACTTGAAAGCCAAATTTAGTTTTCTTTTGGCGTCACACATATAATACGTAGGATAAATAGGATACGAAAGTGACGCCAAGAAAAACGATATGAATTAATTTATTTATTACTTATCGTTATACTAGATTCAGCCTGGCCAGTAATATATGTGACACGTGACTAAATTTACTTAACGTATTTCGCGGAATAAAAGTATCACTTATTCCATGAATAATAAATTGCGTACATACATCCAAAAGGCATACGTAGCACGAATTTTCCTAACTTATACCGAAAATTTCAAATAAATTAGGTTTAATTTTCTCATGCAATATGCAAAGTTTTGACTAGTATTATTTTTCGTTGTTTGTCTGTACTGCAGTACTAATTTGCATATATCTAAGTAAAATTACCATGTTCAAAGATATATGAAGTTTTAATATTACAATGGACTGTATAATACACCTTTTTTTCTGCATAATAAGAATTTCTAAGAATTGTTAAGGATAGTCACCTATCTTTCAATAACTTCTTTGTACGTATGATATGGATTTTATCAATAGTATTTAAAACGACTATGTATTGCTATGGTAAATGACATGCGAAAATATATACTAAATTTATTTTACAATTATGATTAGCTATATTGATATATGTACTGATGTCTATATGCTTAAATCTCTGAAAATGGATAAATTTGAACACAGACTTTCAACTGACAACAACACAAATATTTATAAATATGTAAAATAATGATAAAGCGTAATAAACAATGAATATAAAAGGACTGCCAAGAAGTTAGGTTTCCTTTACTCTCTCATTGCTTTACTTTTGAAACCCAACAATTTACTTTTTGCCAAGACTGGTTTTATCAAGCAAACAATCCCACATTAATACAAAAGTGAAATGATGAAAATATTGACTCCAGTTCTCTTGGTCATAATACCTTTAGTATTATATAATGTCGTGGTTTCTGTTTTTATTTCATTTAATCTATATTCTTCTCTTTCGCCACTGCGAGAAAATCTTATGACAGACAGTACCATGAGAGATATGCCAATTTATGAAACCATCTTGTCGTCGTCATCTCGCTGGGAATATCAACAGCAAACATTTAGATTCAAGGAAAATGATCTTAACGATGGATTGAAGATAACTATGTTCAATAACTGGATTGAACCTATACCTTCTATGCTTGTTATGTTGGATGAGATAAGTTGGTCAAGTTAAATTTTGATTCTTATTTAACAATGGCTAAATGAACTTTGTTAAACTTTTATATGTACATGTGATCCACTTAAAGTTCAACCTATTTTTTCATTCATAAATTTGTAATTTAATTAATTGTTTTTAATTGCCTTTTTAATAAGCTCTAATTGTAATAATCATTCGAGAATATCACTGTCTTTATTATTAGTAAATAATTTTTTAATCTTACAGTTGTTCTCAGTAATAACCTTCAAAGTTAATTTTTTGATTTTCATATCATGATATTCTCAAAATAGATCTCTAAAAAATCTTACCAGAATAAAAATATAGTCAAGATTTTTTTAAAGTTTTGCAAAATTTAACACAAGATTATGAGAACCAGTTATTAAATTTGTTACGTACATATTAAATTTGTATGCCTAAATGGCAAAATCTCTTTTTAAAATTCCATATTTAGGCAAATAAATTAATACTATGTAAGGCTTCCATGTGTAACATGTTATATTTGTGCGTACATTTGTAACTAAGTACATAGTACATAGATCTCTCACTTTTATTACTCAGTAATTGGACTCTTCTTCGCAATTGTAGCTGTAGCAGTGTTAAGTAAATACGTACAACTGTCATATGTATAACAGTAGAAATAATCTATTTGTTACTTTACACTTAAAATCATACGTATGGTAGCCTCAAAAGTATATCACCGTTACATGAAAAAAAAACAAATTTAACAAAATTGCGAATTAACGATATCGATATTGCGCAAATTCATGATACTGTTATGTATTGACTTACATATCATCATGCTTTGCACAAATATGTTTTCGTGTGCATAACGATAACAGGAGTCGACCGTTCAAATTCGTAGATTATTCCGACATAGTTACACAATTGATAAATAAATTTTTTTATACATTATACACTACTTCTTTTAAAAGCTCTGGTAGCTTAACTTTCTATAAAACGAGGGTAAATTTAACGGATGAACTAATGCTTATAACATATTCTTTGAATCACTGTGAATCCCACAAATTTTTTTTTGCAATTTGATTGGCCGATTTACTAATATTCAAGATATAATTGGTTGGTAATCATGTGTAACTATATCGGAATCATCTACGGTCGCTCCTGTTGTGCATAACAGCGACAGCGACAGCGACATAGTTTCTGCAAAACATTATCAATGTATGTAAGTAAACATTACAGTGCATTTTTTAATTTAAGTATTGTGATATTGTTATCCGGAGAAGTCACGTGGCAACTGATTACGGCTACTCCAAATTAGGGTAACCCGGCCCACTCGGCTACTACGGCTACGTAGGTCACGAAGGCCATGTCGGGTAAGTAGGAGTTGGGAACGATGTAGTAGAAGTAGCAAACGTAGAATGTCAAATGCAAATAAAGAATTATAAGATAAATAAAGGCTGTGAAAGCCCTAAAGAAGGAAAAAACTCCCGAACTTCACTTTATTAAAATAATAACTGGCCTTTACATAATAATAAATACAAAAACGTCTTCCCTACTACATTAACTAATCGCAAAATCCCAGACCATAAAAACCCCCGATTCTTGCAATTATCTGTTCATCCCGTAGTATTGTTATATCCCCGTCCGGTTGTTGTATCCTAAAGTATCAGAATCAGCCGTGGTTATATCGTCTTACTATCCCGAAAGATTGAGGATAGTTGAGTTTATACATGTTGTTCAATTACCCAATGTAGTGAGGTAATTGAGAATAAAGTAAGTAGAGAGCTCAAAAGAGGGAAACCTAAGACAAGTAAAGAAGAAATACTTACTTATAGAAACCAAACCACTAATCAAATCTAAACACTTCTTTCTGACTAAGCTAACTGTAGATTACAAGAAAATTTGGATTATAAAATGATTGACTTGACATTTTACCTGTTTTCAATATGAACTGGTTAGGTTATAATTGGTTAACTAACTTGAACTGAATAAATTTTAGGTAACTGATGAAGTAAATTCTTAATTAATTAATTTGTACAACCAGTTAAGAATTAGTAATCAGGTAGAAGAATCAGAAATAAGCAAAGATTCCAAAAAAGTCTGAAAGAAAAATAAATAAACATGAAAAATAAGCAAGATTAAGATAAAAATTTGAGTAAAAGTTTAAAACTTTTCAAAGGTAAAGTGTAAAGTAATCTTAACTAGCTGAATCAGTTAGTATAAAATATTTCAGTTCAGTTAACCAATTAAGAAATTTTTTTTAGTTCAAATTATTATTCTTTTTGATCTTTTATTGTAAAATTATATAAAAAACACTTATATATTAGAGAGTATAGTAATCTAATAAAGTGAACAATTTGTTAATTCTTAAATAGCAAATCTAAGTTTAAATTCTATAGATAACAAATTTTAAAAATTATATCTATATTATACTAACTGTTTCTAATTAATTAATTAAATCTATATATTTGTAATTTTAGATATATCAAGTCAGATTTTATTTAATATTAAAAGCTTGAAATATTTATATAAAATGTAACATTACAGATACATAGTAAAATATAAAAAACTAATTTTATATAAGACTTTAATGCAAACTATAATAGGATCATTAGGTATATAAGACTAAAAAACTGAGAAGACAAAAGCCTATTTAAAATCCTAAATAAAAAAATGATATAAACTTTTAACAGTGTTATTAAACTGATAAAAGCTTATAAAACATCCTTAAAGAAATAGATAAATAAACTAGATGACAAAATATATAAAAAAGCATATAATTAACTAGGTTACTAAAATTATTAGAGAAAAAAGAATATATAAGTATATTATACAAAGTCATCTAAATTAGTAATCTAAAAAGTTTTGTTAGTTCCAAGTAACAGTTAGTTCGAAATACTAGAAATAATATCAAAAAAATAAGTACTAAAATTTGAGTAAATTTTATAAAAATATAGTAATTTAATGGTTAGTTTTAACTGTAAGTGCTAGTCTAGTCAAAATAATACTAGATTAGCTAAGTGAAACATTACTATATAATATAATTATTTAATATAATAATATTCTACTTAAATTAAATTATATTACTACTTTATAATCTAAATATCTTTATATAATCTAAGTATTATTATATAGTTTAAATATCATAATATAATTCAAATATTATTATATAGTTTAAGAATTACTCTATAGTTTAAATATTTTTATATAATTCAAATGTTACAATATAATTTATATTATTATATAACCTAAATAATATATTCTTATTGCTACTATATAATCTAATAATATAATTTTATTATCTAATATAATCTATATTTTTTACTATATCAAGTATTTATTTTATATTTTAGCTATATTTTTAATCTTTTTTTACTATTTATGTTTTATTATTTTATTATTATTACATAATCTAAATATTATCTACTTTTTTAATTTAATTATTATTCTATAATCTAATAAACATTCTTTTTTTCTTGTTTTTAAGATATTTATAGGCTAAATTTTGTATTATTATACTAATCTTCTGTACCTAATTAGAATCTAGGTTCTGTATTGTAAATATAAGTTACCTGTATCTGATTGAAACTCAGATTTTATATTGTGAATATAAATTACTTGTACCTGTTTAAACTCTAAGTTTTATACCAAACTTACTGCATTTTTATACCTATTTGGGTGCCAAATTCTATATCAAGATACTTATTTTTTTGTATTTGTTTAGGTTTGCTAGATATGTGTTTATATTTTTAACTATATACAAAGTTAAAATTTATATTAATATTCATATATTATAATCTATAAATAGAATGTAAATTTATAAAGTTGGTCATATATAAGATCAAAATATATTATAATCTGATAAAAAGATAACTTTATTATAAGTTTGATAATCTAAATATAATTATATATTATTCAAAAAAACAAATAGCTAGAGTATATGCTATCTAGTTTATTATATACATACTATTAAGTTTATTATCTAAACATGTTACCAAATATATATGCTAAGTATATTATATAAATGCTATCAATAATGCTATTATATATATGTTATTAAGTTATGCTATTAAAAAATACTATTAAGTATATTATATTTTTACTATTAGATATATTATATTTTTGCTATTAAGTATATTATTAAGTAAATAATATTTAGACATGCTATCAAATATGCTATCAAATTAATTTTACTTATATTTAAAAACATGTTATATTAATATATATCAATTTTCTATATCAAATTTTTATTTCTAGTTAATCTTAGCTTAACTTTAAATGAAATTTTACTAAAATTATTACTAGAACTAGCTTTTTGATTTTTTAAACCTGTTTAATTTCTTTTTTTTCTTTGTTCTTAGTGTTTTTAGTAACTTTAAAAAAATAAGATTTTTTTAAAAAAATCATTACTTCATATTACTTTTTTTAAAAAAATATTAAGATAAATACTTGTGATTCGGAATTTTATTAATAGTATATTTGGCTAATAGTTGTATTACAACTACAGAGAGCAACCATAAAAAGAGTGTACAACTAGCTACTCATACAACTTTAGTCATTGTCTAATTTAATTAGTTTGCTCAAAGGTTCTACACTAACTGCCATACCTGAAATTTACTTGTAGGTTTCCTATTTAACTACTCTAGTTTCTATATCTACCTATCTACTTTTGCCTACCAATGATCTCAGCTAATGTCAGTGAAAATATGCCATAGCCACTAAGTCTTTAAAGCAATTCTTTGAAACCTTTAACCTTATACTAAATCTTTCAAAACCTTCTGTATTCTATTCTTATAGCTGACTCAGTATCACTATAACTAAGACCAATACTGGTAATCAAGATGTACCATTAAACTGCTATGCCCTTGTAGAGTTCATCTCAACTCTGGTACTAACTTTACAATATATTCTTACTACTTTGATATTCAATTCAAGTTCTACCAAGCTGCCATTCCAAATAGTCTAAAAAAGTAGATCAAAACTATATATATATCTTTGGTTTACATGTTTGCTAATATGTACTCTTTTCTTCTGAAACTTAAAAATTCTGACAG